TCATCGTGAGATGGAAGAAAAAATATCGCACATGAATGATCAGCAAAGCCAAAAGAACGAAAACAGAGCGATAATGCTGACAAAAAATATTTATGACTTTTATAGCATCATCGTAGAATGAAAATGCATCCGTCAGTTCTAAAATATTACTCAAACGTCAAATGTTCCAGTGTAGAACCTGTATCATAACGAAGGCATTTCTAGAAATGCCTTCGTTATGATACAGTTGTGACTATGCCCGAGAAGCTCGGCTAATCATTGATACTAAAAGTTCTAAGTCGCGCGAGCGATTCGAAAAAGAAACTTCTCTTCACTTTCATGACTGGAGTCAAGGAAAGCAACACAAATCTCATTTCCATGTCATCAGTATTCATGAAATTATGACGGATTCTCAGTAATTGTGCGAGGATGAACATCACATTTCAACAGCAAATATTCGAACAAATGCATAATGGAAGTAAACTAATAAACTGAGCTTTCTAAAAAAAGAAACAACTTACTCTTCCACGGATATCTTTTGCTAGAACTATAGTGGATGTCATAGCAAAGAGAGAGAGGAAGAACGACATCACAACCATACTTGTATCGTTAATAATTTTGCAGTGATACGGAGTGTTTATAACTGCTGCTAGTTGTAACTGAAGATTTTGTCTGAAAAGTTCCCGATTTTATACTTGTCTAATGCTTGCAATCTGTGACTATAAATGTTCAGTTTAACAATTGTCTATTCGAATCCATCAAACAAATAAGATCTCAATTATGAATACAAGCTATGTTGCTGTATACAATAAACAAATGAATGCTAAATGACTGGACAAAAATGAATAAATTACAAGTGAGTCGAATGGATCTGTGATTTCAAAAAGCAATGAAATCATACTTAAAATATCATAAAAACAGATTAGAATATTCTCTCTCAGAGATGACTTTCTCAAATAATCGGAATAAGATGAGATGCTTCTCAAGAAGTATTTATAGTGTGCTACAGTGAGTGAACAGATTATAGATAAACGATGTTTCGAAATGGTTAAGCCGAATGACTTGTGTTTATGGCGAAAATATATTGAAAAAATGGCACAAAACCGGAATGAGAATGCAAAACTAATGGATAGATTAATTGGCAGATATTACGTTAATAACTGCTAATATTCTGCAGTCAAATGTTTGGATACAATAGCAAATTCAAGATTTCAAAAAATAACAATAATTGCAAATGATTATAATAAAGAAATTGTTGACGGCATACGACTATATTCAATTATCAGTTATGATCACTTTGAGATGTCATGTTAACTTATCTTCAATTCATAGAATTTTAATGGCTTCATAGTGAAATGACAGAGCATTTGATCTTTTTTTTTTTATTCTCAGAATTTACGAACAGTGTGCAGTTGCAGGGCAGTGGATTTTATGAATCAGTTATTAAAAATTAATAATTTAAAACGGCATAATAAGTTGTTGTTGAGATTTGTGTGCAAAGGATTTGTATGAAAACATGTTGGAATGAGACAAAGTGTAAATAAGCGGGATACAAACATTCATAGATGTTCAGATATTTAAGAGCACCTCTGGGCATAAACGACTCTAGCATTCGTCTTTCAATTAACCTATGGCATTTATGTGTGGAGGGATAATAGCGCTGATTGATCGTAATAAATGTGTGTGGTTTGTTGCAAGCAAAATTGTTTTCATTTGCAAGTATCGTTATATTGTGATCAGCAATATAATCAAATTGTATCATTTCATTTTACATCCTCGCAATATCATTTGTATTCTGACCTGGTAATGAATTGAGTACGGTCACTCGACGTAAATCAATTCGTAGTCACTTTTTGCATTTCAATTAGAAAAAAGCGAGCCACTCAGCAATCCATTAATGGAATGGTATAATGGTGTTAAAATGCGCATCAGCTTAAGCAAATAAATTCTTAAGTAGTTATATTATCGAATTGAATTCCATTCAATCATTTAATTACTTACGATTAATTTAATTTGAGATTTAAGATTTAAATTAAATTCTTAAATACAAAAATTTACGAATTCGATACTATGATAAGTATTTTAACACAAAAAATTCATCCGTTTACTAGAAGTGATTCGACGTAGTTATTATTTCTTGAGGCGACATTATGCCTGAAGTGACGTTCAACGAAAAAATTAGTTTAGTTTGGTTGCTCGTCAACAATCCACCTATATGTTGGTACATCAATAAAAATAGATCTAGACCTATTGTATCACCTCATTAATCACTTTACGTGACTAAAATACTTCAGCGACGATAATTGACATCGCCTCAAAACTCGTATCGAAGTCATTTGCAATTTCTATTTGGTTCTGTATTTTTGTTTATTCATTCAATTTGTTTCTTAGTTTTCCCTCTTCCTTTCAAATTGCTTTTTTTTCTCTTTTTTATCATCATTGCAATTGCAATTTTTTCATGTGACTTCCACATATGAGTAAAGACTTACTGCACGTGTGAAGATATTCGTATGCAAATGAAATTCACGTCTAGAATAAATGCATGATTAGACTTAGGTTAATCTAACGTCATTTTATAGTTCTGCACTTATCTGAATCATCTTTCAATTATTTTAAATCTGTCTTTAGAACAGCACAGTATTTGTAACGAACTGATATGCAATAAGCAAATGCATACGTTATAATAAAATAGTTCGATTATGTAACATTAATCAAACTATCATGACCTATGCATCTCTTTATTGCATATCGCTACGATGTCTATGCTAATCGCCTCTTTCCAAATGCAGCGGTATATTCAACATTGAGTGTAACATACTGCAATAATTTTGAAAACATTGTTTTCAGCCAAAACCGTGCATCTTCACTCACTGTACAGCGATATCTTCCACGCTGAGAAACTTTGCTAAAGAAACGTTGTTTCGTATCATTGGTGATGAAACGTTCAGTTTTTCACTGATGATAAACGAAATTTTTACTTTGGTTCACATTTATGAACAGTATAAATATGGTGTCGCATTTAATGATAAACTTAAAAATAAACACTTCTTCACAAGCTACTTTTTTTCTCAGTGTTTCTTCACATTTGATAATCGAACATCAATTATCACAAACCAATTTCTCCATCATAACGCATACAACTAAACTATGAATGAATAAACAACAAAACAAGATATACTGGTGCATTAGCAGTTTGAATGATGCCGACTCGACACGAAAGAAATACATGCATGCTCATTCCTCATTTGCAGACGACGAACGCATCTCACTTGTAAACGACCAAAGAATGTACAATATTGCTTAAGCCAACATCCAAAGATGACAACGCAGACTAATTTCTACCACTTCAAAACTGATGTACAGTAATATCACTATTGAATCACTCAACTAAAAATGCTTTGATACGAAATCAACCAGCTCTGAGCTACCATATTTATTTAGCATTACTTGCTCGATTACGTCTGATGAAACCGCTTCATAATTACAGACAGTGAAATCGAACGAATTTCCACAAGAAATTATCTTGAAGTGGAAGTGATTTCGCATCATCGCATAAAATGAGTCTCATTCAACGAATCGACTACTACCAAAACATTGAAATGTTGAATACAAAACAGAAGCAAACAAATAGTCCTAATCATTAATAAATCGCATACCCACACAATATCGTATATCCATTACAAATACAACATAATCACACATCACTCATTTAAAAAATTAAAAACATTTATATTCTACAAACGGAAGTACCATAAGTGCTAAAACACTTTAATTAGCAACCAAAAATCTGTCAATAATGCAATAAAATTCAATGAAACGTCAAAGCGATGAGCTACTTACACAACAAATGGACACATGATGCTTTCCTTACGATAATATGGTATTTCGGATAACCTTATGCAATGTAACTACGGCTCTTAATATACAGAACAATGCGCTACGGTATTTTGCTTCACTAGACAATTCGCGTACTTGCTAATTGTAAGAGAAAATTTTGGCATTATCGCTTAGATGGTGGCCTTCCAACGTCTAAATCAAATGTAATCGATCATATGTGATAAAATAAAAAGCTAATCAACTTCGAAGATTAGACGAGGAACTCACATTCGGTTTCCCCATCTTGAAGTTACTTCAGTTGATTTTTTTCAACGATTATCATTTGTCGAAAACGAATAAGCCAAAACAGAAACGAAAATATGCAGAATGAAATACTGCGAAACAATTTTATCGAGCAGATTTGCGAGTGAAAATCATTTGATTGTTCGTTTATTATCCGTCGAATTCTCGCATTTATTTTAGCGCTGAAAGGCCTTAATAAAAGCATCTTTGTTCGGGATAACGATGATGCTCGTCCACTTTCAAGAAATGCTATTTTCTTCGTACGAATTTACTCATTCATGTATCCACTTTTTATGGGCCTCGAACCGAACAAAAATACGTTAAGTGACTGAAAATGCGTTGTAATTTGCATCTCGAAATACAGTTTGTTGAAGAAGGAGATGACGCTTTCATTGTCGAGCTTTACCACAGGTATGATTACATTGCATTGTTTGATTACCACAACAAAGAATCGATCAAATAAAATGAAACAGAATTATGTAAAAAAGCAAATGAAAGAATGGACGAAGAGAAAAACCACAACTCCCGGTGCTAGTTAGTATCATAAAAACGCATCATTCGAAGACCATCCAAAATAAATTATTGAAAATCAACAAAATATGTGAAAAAAATGCAGATTAAGTTTTTAAGCAGAAATTAATAGGAAGATAGATTCACAACTTCAGTAGAGAAATAAATAGAGGCTCAAAAAATTTCTTGCTGTATCCACACAGTTAATACAATGAAACATATCTTCGGTCATAGGTCAGATAAAATTCAACAACAATGATATTTTAACGCCTCAAACTAAATAAAAGTTGATCATCTTCAATTCAATCTGCATCGATCATACCATTGAAGGAATGACCTACGACCGCTCTTTTCAGAAACAACAAAAGAAAGCGAATAAAATAAGTGACAATTCAAAAGATGGAATGTTTGGTGGTAGTTCGGCTTGTATTGCTCGTATTATGAAGTTCAGTTGAACGATGTGGTGAATACTGATGATAGGAACGTGTTGATGAAGCGACAGGCAATCTACGTGAAATACTACTGGTTGTAGGTGTGCTAGTTGCAGGGATACGACTAGCAGCAGTATTAATACTACTCGTATTAACTGGATTAGTACTGGTGGAAGATACTGGTTGCCATGATGATGGCGGTTTGCTATCAGTGATCGGTTGAAAATATGATCGTTGAGTTGTTAACATATGGCTGTCGTGTGGTAACATTGACGGTGATGGTGATGAGCGATTCTCACGAAAATGTGATACAAATGATCCTGGTTCAGTGTACGCTAGGTGATGTGATTGTCCAACTTGCTGACGTTTACTTGGAGATGCGTTATTGATCACTGTTGCCGTTGTCACTGGCCTCTTCGATTTCTCTTCAACGCTTCTCAGATCGTAACGGCGTCTCATTTCATCGTATGAAGGATAACCGCTGCCTTCAGTTGCTGACCGTGTGCACAAATGAGACGTTACTGGCTCGAATCTGAGATTCCAAACAAAGGTCATATAAATCGATAAATAAACATAAGCAACTGAATTACAAAACACTCACTTCCCAGATGGGCCGTAATCTGAGTGCAAACGTTGCCTGACTGATTGCGTTGTATCGTAATTTATCACACTTTGATTATTATCAGCACTTTCATCGCCAACACTCACATATGTAACATTGTTTGGCATTTGAATCACTCTTGTTTCAACCTTTAAAACTAACCTTTTAGAACTTCATTCAGATGAAAATTTATAAGCGTAACAGTCAATTTGTCTCAATGTGATTATGCATGAATTCGAGAACAAAAATGTACAATCGATGAAATTCATCAACAATCGAAGATCAGTAAGGGATACTTCGGTAACGGTTTGATGACGTCGTGATTCGAATAAAGTTGGACTGTTTTGTTGATTTCTGAATCGTCTTTCCATTGAACGATCCTCACTTCGAGATTCATAAATCAATTCACCAGGTAAAATATTATTGCTAGGACGATATTGTGTAACATTTTTGCTATCATCTCTTGCATTCACAAAAGCAGTATTTCGTTTTGACGATGAAGATGACGATACTGATGAGTATTTTTCTCTTTTATCATTACTTTGATCAGATGAAAGATTCAGGTCACGACGTTGTTTCTGTTGTTGAGTCGGGATATTATCATAGAAACTATCACGTTTTATCAATCGCACGTCACCATCCACCTTAGAAGATGACGGTGGTGAGAACGATATCGCTTTATCATATTCACTGAGTCCACTGAAACCACCACTTATCTTCCTCAAATCATTTCCAGATGTAATAATAATCGTATTAAAATCGCAGTATTTCAACAATTCCTTTTTCTGATTACCGATATTTCTCAAACGAATGGTAGATGATACTCTTCAATAAACAGTTAAAACAAAAACAGCCGTCTGCAAAAGAATCGTGAGTAATCACTGGATTGTGTGGCAAAAGGAAAAATATACATTGAAAGCTAATTCATCTTCATACGGTGGTTGCTTTGAAAATTTTCCATCAGAAAGAGGGGAGAAAGCTGAATGGATGACGAACAACAAAACCTGATGAGATCAGTAAGTGGAACTGTCGGTATTAAAAAAGAATAAGATATTATAAGCGATAAGCACAATGGTTCTACCTTTGCGGATAATTGTTGGATGACGTGAACTGCTGATGTTGCTGACTGATTGCTACAGGTGGTTTCTTGTGTGAACATTGATCGTTACTGCTATAATACACTTGATCGGCACTCTTCACGACACTATGAGAAGTTGTAGTTGGTGGGAAGCGTTGCTTTCGATGAATGTCGACGTTTGATGATAACGAATGAGTGGCTTGTTGCTTACTGTTGCTGCCCGATTGCTGGTACGGATCTGAAGGATGATGTGCCGATGAAGATGTGATCCGCGATGGTGGTGACGTAGACACAGCAGGATGAAACGATTCAGACGTAACAGCGCCCTTAGTTGAATTGCTACTATTGATCACTGCACGACGAGTAGCCATCGCCGAGCCGTGATAGTCTACTGGAGGTTCAGGAGGAGGTGAAGAATGTGGTGAAAATGTTGGTGAGTTCGTGATTTGCCTCGGTTTTTGATCAGCTGAAAACAGAACGTAAAACACGAACAAAGACAAACAACACGTTGATTCACTGCATCAGAAAATAATTGTTATCATGAACATATCAGATTATGAGAACAATAACGATGCTAGCAGAATAAACGCTAGTTGCATGAAGATATTGCTGTTGCGAACTCGCAACATCCTTGTTAATTCATATCTTAACTTGTCTTGTTGTTGTTAACGCAGATTGCAAATTCCCTCATCACTTATCCAACCTCGTATTATTCACACAAATGCATTGAGACTGCATGCTTTACCTCCACAAACACATTCAAATCTTATATATCATATTTATAAATGCATTCAAAGCTAAAAATATTTAAAATGGCGTAATCGTAATTCACATCTGCACATACATCTTTGTTAATAACCTTATCTTAATTCCTATCAATTCTACAAAAACTGAAATGACTGCAAATCATTCCGTTTACATAACTAAAAACAGCAAGAAATTCATTTCCGACATCGGCGCATAAAGAAAAGATCATTGGTTTCAAACTTTATGCACCTGTCGCATCTCAGAACCCTCAATACTTCAGGTTCATTTCCATCCCTCCGATGCATTTTACTTATTCATCAACCATCAATTTGATGGAATGATTGCTTTTCCGTTCATCTCGAAATTAATTTCTCAAATGTTCATTGCATCTTCCATGTTTATGAATAATTGAAGTTTCTATTAAATTCAATTCTTTATCGCTGGAAAATGTTTTTTCTCACCGATTTTCTCACGCATTGCCGAGGTTCATACTGTTTCTGCCGAAATGGATAAATAAAGTTCTAAAAATACTTGTTTCATTCCAGAAAATTAAATTCTTGCAAGCCATAAGAGGAATTTACGGATCGGTTTTCCGTTTGTTCCTAACGCTATACGTAGAAGTAGTAAATTCCCGTAACGTCGGCCTGCCAGATCCGGTAATGAAGCACTCGAGCGTGAGAAACATTGTCGTAGAGTATTTCCTAACAGACGACTGTGGGCGTCGACATATCAAACTGTGGGCAAATAATAGTGCAGTTATCGAATCCCTCCAGTTGGGTAGATTATTCCTTTTTCGGTAAGTACAAAAACAACAATGTCAATGAATTTCTGATTGATGTGATGTCTTGGCCCGTCAGTCAGTTGCTTGGGAAAATCTAAGCCCGAGGCCAAACTTACTTGCCGGTGGTTGCTTTACATCATCATAGCTAACTGTGAGCTGCAATTGTTATTACTGGGATCGTTAATGAAAAAAACGAATCTTTCTTTGATTACCTGGTACCGATGATGTTCTGGTCGCGATTCTTTCATTCACAACAGCCTCGTTGGCTGTTGGCGGTAAATTTTTCTTGGACGATTCACTCCTAGCAGCAATAATGTTGGGACGTATCGGTGGTGCATTTCGATGGCGTCTCGAAACGACTGGTGATTTACCAGCTAATGCTGAAAGCAATTGTATATCGTTTCACATAGAAATCTTTATTTCGGCATTCATACGTTCTCCGATGGCAAGTAAACCACTTTTCTGCATAAAAACAATTTAGTTTCATCGTTCAATTGAAGAATTCATTTAAAGTCGCCTACAATTCGCCCGTGAGCAGCGACTTTCAATTTCAGCAATATCCATTCGTATATCGAACATCGACCGTGAAAGTACTGGTCCTAAAGGCTTCACTGGAAATTCAGGAGGATCATTGGCGCCTGGTGGAGGCGGTAGTGTCATACGATCATTCTAAAACACAAAATGCTACAGCGATTTCGAAAGAGATCGCATGCTGAAGACTGTTTACATCAAACACAAACAAATTGGCTATATTCAACTCTTCAGAATAGATACATCGACATTGAAACTGAATCAATATTTCACGATTACCATATCGACTATTTATTAATCAGAAACAAATGCTCATCAATTCAAATTACTCTGCCAGAATTCATTTCCATTTTCAATTAGAAATGAAGCATTTCTAATAAAATAAATTCAATCAGTTGTATACACTTGTGAAATAGTTCATACTTGCAATTTTCGTAAACATTCACGTAGTGATTGCATAACTTCTTCATCCGTGTAACCAAAGTCATGTGCAATCGTGGTTTGTATATATTCCATGAACGTCTCGATTTGCAATTTCCTGACTGCTTCTGAAAACGTAAAATGCCTTTAAATAACTGCAACAGTGAAGAATGCAAAGCAAAAGTGATAGCTGTTAGATATGTAATGCTTTTGTTGCAATCACTTGTTAAAAGTCGCAATTGCTCCGTGATTATATCACAGTTGATGAGCAAAACTCAGCAACATAAAAGAATAAATTAACAATTTACTCTGATGCATTTTCATTGTGTTATAAGCCATCGCGATGAGAATCACATCACCTTCTAACAAGAACACGTCCCATAGTCTTAATGCTAACGAGAACGGTACTCGATCCAAAAAACATCCAAACCACCACTTCGTTAAATATATTGGCGGAATACCAGCTTTATCCTCGAAATGTAGAACAAAATTATATTGGTCAAAGCCAACTTTTTGATGAAAATTCAATACGATAATGTCGTTGGAAAAGTTTCAACAAAACTACATTGAAGATCAGGAGTAATGTGCTTTTTTTTCGATTTGTTTTTGCGCGATAAAAGATTCAAAACACAAGCAATACCAATTTACGGGCACACGGCCAGCAATAATAATATTCGATAAATGATATTTATTCTAAATTCAGAAGTCCGATATCCTCAAGCATGCCAAATTAGGAGTGACCACATCAATCATCAAAATTGACTTACAAGATGTTTTTTCAATCGCGGTAAATATTTGTGAAGGACTCTTTCGTAATGTGCTTGAAACCTGATCAATTTTGGAAAACCCGGTACGAAGAAACCTGCAAACTGATGTTTTTTTCCAGAAATTACAATCCACGAAAAGTAATTTCGCAAAATCCACAACCACGCGCATAAAGCAAGCGAACAGAAACGCCATTATACAAGCGAACAACATTCCATATCATCCACTATCTCATTTGTAAGAGAACACAAGTACGGACAAATTAAATCGTTAGAAAATATAAACTCCTGAATGCTAAGTTCTTTTTTGAAAATCATTTCATCCTGTTTCACTGTGCAAGCAGTTCAACACTGATTCAATGCAAAAACATTGCAAACAATTCATATAAACATACCCACGTTATACAGGTGGCAAAACATGCCATGTATTGAAATTCCAAAAGTGAAAAGAAACCGAAACGAATTCAATATAGACTGTTAGCAGAACGCAATAAACTCAAATGAAACCAACCATGCATCGCATGCTTTTTGCTCACTAATAAAGCATGAAGACACCAAAACGCATCCTCTTCATCCATATACATCAAGAACAATGCTGCTATTTGACTCATTCCTTGACAGTAACCAACTTCCGTATTAAACATCGCATATGCAGCTAACACATTGAATAATGACTGTTGCCTCAAATGTTGCTTAGTTATAATGACTTAACAAATTAAGTCTATGCATATAGCTCCAATTTCAGCAACTGATTACAAAAATGGCAAATTTTTTTCATACCATGAATTTTTATAGTTAAATGGAAATAAGACAATGATAATAGCAGTAATAAAAACGAAATAATCACTAAAATATGAATAGTAACAATAGGTAAATAATGATAATCGTTAAAAAAAACAAGTAAAATCATCACTAACTTTACATCATATCGTCTCCTGAACGCTAAATGGTCTCGATATGTTCGGTTAATATCCAAATCAATTTGCTTGATATCTCGTGAAACAAGTCTGGCTCTCATTAAGAGTTCTTTATAAACATTGAATGGTGAATCTCGTTTGTAACGTTCTGTTTCCAAAAGATATGTCCACACCTACGATTCAATATTCAGTACATCCATCAATAAACTACAAACACCCTTTTAAAAAATGAACTGTTTTATCCACTAAGAAATGTTGATATGTTCAAAGTAAGTTTCAGCCAAAATGAAAATACTGACCACTAAACGCAACTTCTCAGGTATTCCTTTCCATACTCTGTCTCGCAATTTTTCAACTGTCTTTCCAGCTTTCCATGTGGCCATCATACGCAACCACTTTCGCTCTCTTGATGTCTCTTTTGCAATCCTTTTCTTTTCATCAATTTGTGACTGCGATAATACCTCATCGTTTTTACTGCAATCACTGTTTCTTAATTCTGAGCAACAATCATAATATATCGAATAACAATAAATAATTATGATTTGGACAACAATCAAGCGAAACGCATAAATAAACGCTTACTGTACAAATCCAAATCGATCCGTTATTTTATACAGTTCAAAGTCTGGATTCTCCCATTCTTCCACAACTTGGCCTGCACCCTATCAAATAAGAACAGATAATTTGAAAAGTGAAAACACTACTAGCTTAAATATTCAGTAATACAGTGAAATATAAACGAAGAAAATGATCGATAATAATAACTGCCGACATTAATCAGAATCCTTTTCGATTTGTGTACGATTTTAACGGAACGATGAAGAACGTCGATGAATCATTCACTTACTTTTTCGTACTTTTCTACAATTGCAGATCTTTCTTGCAGTTCAATAAATTCGGGATCATTCGACTCAGCACTTGATGAAAGTTCGTCATTTGCATTACCTACAAAATATCAACTAATTCTTATGTCAAATACTTTTCAAAAAATAAAATGTGAATGATTATGTAATAGTATCACTTGCTTTTCTCGATTCCATCAACTTTTAAACATCATGCATTCAGTTTTAGATTAATTAACTGAACGGAGTCCATATATGAAAGTGAAAAATCATACAAAACATAATAATAATAAATAAATAATGATGTTAATAATAACAATTAATGACAATAATAATTAATAATAACTAATAGTAATAATGACAATAATAATAATAACATGACAAAGTGGAAGGAAATGATATTAAACTATACATTAACCAAAAATAATAACTGGCTTGGAACAAATCAAACTATGACCAATTCAATCGAAAACACCAGCGTTAAATGAAATTCGACTCCAACATCTCTCAGTTCTTTTAAACTCTCAACGAACAATATCAAAATTGATATATAAACTTATGCACTACCATAAACGTCCACTGCTGCACCACTATTGTTGATGCTGTTCTTATGCGGTTCTTTTTCATCAATCAAAAACTTTGGTAATATGAATTTATTGGTTATTTGAAACATTTTTTGTCGCATTAATTCTGCAGTTGATATACTCTGCTCCCCTTCACCACCGACAGCGTCAGTGATAAACGTGTGACGTTTTAACGGATCACTGAGCGTTGATTGTAACTGCTGTTTAAGTCGTACACTAATTTTGCGTAATAACTTTGATGGAGAGATCACTTGTTGCTGTTTATCTTGCTGAGACTGAGTGCTACTTTGTGACGAAATAGGAGACGATCGTTGATTAGTGTCGTGTTCGCTTTTATTAACTGCATCGCAATTCTTTTGTTTTGAGCAAGGAGAAGACGAAGTGGAATGTGACAGCGACGACGACAAATGATCACACAGTTGCTTGCGTCGCTCATTACTGAATTGCCGCTTCGCATCACTACCACTTTCAGTAAAAATACCACTGCCAGTGAAATCGGTTGTTGAATTTGCAGTGGTTGGATAGGCATCACTATTACTTATGGCTGGGGATGATGCCTCCTCATCAGATGTAAACAACGATGAACTACGCTCAGACGATGCAGGGCAATCATCACCAGCTATAGTGAAAGTGGTAGAATTGGAAGCACTTGCGAAACGTCTTCTTGTAACATCAACGGTTCGATCAAAAATCCCCTCATTTGACCAGAAGGATGGTGGTGATGGCGACGTGCTATCAACTGAACTAGCAATTCGCTTTGTTATTGTACACCTTAGTCTCATTTGATTACTGATATAGTGATAGGTATTTTTTGTTGGTGACGACAAGTATCTTCATAACAAAACGAAGAAGTGCTACAAGAAGTGGATAACAGTACGCACGATAACTCGAGCAGCAATTCAATCTTCTTTTTGCAGAAATATTACCACTTGTCTCATCATTGTTATTAATATAACTGCCACAATTACTACTGTAATATCTAGATGAGCCTTTCCTTGATGATAAAACTTAATAACGTTATTGTTGGTTTGAATAACGACTAAATTCAACGAATCTTCGTCGGTTTTCATCACAGCAAAAAAATTCAAGTTCTCTTCAAATATCACACGATTTTCGATTCTCCATGCGTTCGCTATAACTGCCTCCAGTCCTACTAATCAGACTCCTGTCATCTTTAAATTGCACGCTGTCAAGAATGCCCAATAATTTCGGCTTCATGTAACCACAATAACATCCTGATCGACATCTATTACTGTCGTTGTGTTTATTTGAGACCAGTAATCATTGAGGACATAACTGAACGATCAGTTTAACAATCATACTATATTATGCAACTGTCACAAAACTTTCCAGTAGTGCATAACACAGACCAGTTCTCAGTTATGCAATAGCACTGCAGACGCTTCTAACGGCCAGCCAGCAATTATATTCGAAAATAAAATACGAATACACTTTTCTTGATACCAGCACTTCCAATGCCAATTGTTCGACAATGAGTCCGTGTGAACAGCTGATGGTTTCATATCAAACAACAGTCGTTTAAAGGAATAACCACAGCGACAGCCTTGTGCAGGCCAGCTGCATTAGTGAAAAGCACAAAAATTTAAGTGTGTGCAACAGCATCATTGTGACAATAACATTAATACTGTCACGGCAGCGAAAGTACTACAGTCACACTTTCAATTTAATGATCGGATTTTAATTTCAGTATTCGATTACTTTTTCGTTCGCTGAAAACTATCAAAAATCAACACATCTTAATTTGACAATGATTGGATATTACAGAATAATCTAATAAAAACTATGTATCACGGTACTTCGATAACAGATTATATCACACGAAATCCGATCAAAACTTCAGAGTGGTAATTAAAAAAGACAATAATTAGTGTAATTGTATAGTAGAATAAATCTTTTATCTATCTCTAAGCAATTTGTACAGCACAACTTCAGCCTACTGTCGCTTCAATTTCACCACTTTAGCAACTGATACTGCTGCAGTAACTTAAATACACAACTGACGTTAGTAACGAGGATATGAAACTTTTTCAGCACATAAGAAAAATAGATTTTCTCGTCAGTCACGAAATACATAATCATCAGCATCCGTTTCAAATTTTTTGAATAAGGAGTTCTCGTATGACATTTAAACAAAACAACTGCCCACTCGCAGTACGATTTATTCGTCGTCCGTTATTCTTAAAGAATAATCACAAATTCACCAACAATAATCGACTGCCAGAACTATATTTTATTCAACGAAAAAAGTCTACGTTGAAGAGAATTCAATTTGGAACAACAACCAATAGAATTTAATTTTCAGCTGAGAATTGCAACCAAATTCATATCATGAACTAACACATCATGCATCAACTAATTCATTTATTTACCTACACTCAACTAACTTCATCGATGCTTTATGTGCTGCGTGGATGAGAGACCAAAAACTATTAAGCAAACGGCTTTAACCTCAATTCTGGACTTTTGATTACTTGGAAATGCATGCGCATCGGATCATCTTCATTTAATCAAACGAATAAGAATACCGATAGATTGTTCGATAAGTATGCAATTAAATCAACCAAATAGTAAAATTAGATATTCGAATAACCGTAACCAAATGTTCATTTACATTCTATGAGAAATTTCCACCCACGACAATGAGATGCACCATCAAAACCGTTATTCAACGGAAACTGATTTAATCCTTTCAAAGCACGGAAATACTCCGATGAAAATCGAAAAAATCCGCTTAATGATGCACTCATATCTGTGCCAAAATGGCTGAAAAGATTTTTCTTCACTTCAAAAGATAACTGACTAGCTATCGTTTCGGAATTATTAGATAATTCTACTATTTCACGTCTATGGCTGATATAGTTCAACATTTATTCTACAACAACACATCTTACTATCACGTGATTATATCAAAAGGCTGAGACAGATTCAACAAATGTTGCTCACACATAATGAATATGTGTGGAGAAAGAAAGTGAAATATTTATCAGCATATTAAATTATGCTGGATTAATATTGAGATGGATATGCAAAAATTTGGCTCGTAAAGCCAATATCAAGCGAAAAGTCTATAAATCTGTACGTAACACGGAGGGATTTGAAAAGGTTTGCAAATTATTTCCGACAATGATGTTATTATTACTAGTGTTTCCAGAATGTTGAGCACTTTTCAATCCTCGGATTGAAAACAATGGTAATGATGAAAGACGAAGCAAGGCCGATGATATCACAAAATTTTTGTTCACTGCTCTCTGAAAAATGAAAGCTGCGCTGGTGCTATTACGTAAGGATGTATCCATTTATTGCCACTTGGATGGCAAATTACAAACGTGAATGAAGTCAGAATGATTGCTATGTGAGTATATTACCAAAACCATATAAAGTGCAGTTCTTCCTAAATTCCAGGATTTTTCGTAACATAAATCCTGGTATCGAGATCCTATGCAAACACTAATCATCAACTCTATTTTAATATTGTAAACGCATAACTTATCACCAAATTCGCCATGTGCTGTGTTCATCAGCTTTACGAGCCGAAACACTGCGCCGATAACTTCGTTAATATCTCGATAAACGTTTCAAATTGTTCTTTCAGAAACAATTATCTCGTTTCAAAAACATTTGCTAAATCCATCCTAAAATATAAAGCGACTGCGAAGACAATGAATTTCACTTCATCGGTACGATGATTAATCACTGTTGAAGCAAAGAGTAATTCAAATATAAATCTCAACGTGACGAAGGTTTCTTAAAAGCGTATTTCATGTGCATTTATTGCATGACTGCAACCACTTGGATTGAAAATATAAACGCGATAGCAGTTTCAACAAAAATTTTTTTCACACCTCCGGTACATATCCAATCCACATCTGTTCACAATTAAAATATGAGTAATTAGATTAATTCGCTCAAAAACCCGCCTAAGCCTATTCTGGCCACGCTCTGCAACAGCAGCACAGAACTGCTGATTATGATGATAGTACACAATCATCGTTGGAACTGGTTGTCTATGAAATCATTGAGAGGAACAATAATAATAAATCAAGTATTACGCGTTCGTCGCATTTTGCTCATCAATTATAAACCTATTTATTCATGCATTCCGATATTATGAATGGAACACAGTAAATATATTGAGCAGCGGAAAAATTTTATGGGATCAATTTTCAATAACCGCCGAGTTACATATTTGATAGAGTCAAAAATGTCAATAGTTACTTTTTACCATATTCCCCTTATCAAGAATCTTGACAAATAAAACTTCGCCAAGTTTATAGAAGTTGAATCTATTGAAGAGCGATGCAAATTTTCACTGTGGGAACGGACTACAAAAACGCTAAAAGAAATTCGCATCTGTAAAACTTCTAAACTGCTGCGTTTCTTTTAATTGGCTTGGAATATCTTTTCAAGCATACTTTCGACAAAAAGTCACGAGTTCATTCATGGAGTGTACAAGTGAGAAGGGTTTTTTGGATGCGGATTTTAAAAATGAGAATCTGTTATTTAAGGAAATACGGACAAATATATGGGCATGCACGAATGCCTGTAAATTAGCAAATTGTAAGATGGCAGTAATACTGAGAAGCTGCTTTAAACGCAAGCTTGTTCCAGTCAGCTGTCCTTCGGATTGAACATACATTTGCATGGATAGAGATGTGATGGATATGTGTTATGAATAAGAATCACTAGTGATACAAGACGGCCACACAAATATTCGTTTCATTCTTTTACAGAACAACTGCGGCTCTAATGCTTTCATTCAACAATTGAATGGAGAAACGCATGTTTTTCTGTGAATTTCATGTTTGGTTTCATACATATCCCTATCAACTTTTCCACTTTCTGTACAGTAGAGAAAATGTCATATAGATAAATATCACGTGCACATTATTTCGAGTGAAATTACCCCAACAAACAACACTTTCTCGAATGAAACAAATTATTCAGCTCAATAAATGAACTTGAAAGTCCGCAATGTCAAAAGATGCCAGTGTTTAAAAAAGAAACGAGATAATTAAGTTCATAAAACGACCAACCAATACGTTCACGCAAAACCAATTCCTGTTCATCATCCTCACTCGTACTATTATTCTTATTATCGTCATTCAAAACCAAATCTTTATCATCCATCGGAAACACACCATCTTCTGAAGTAAAAACCTTCATCACCACTAATCCATTTGAAGAAACATCATATTACTTGCTTTATCAATTCAATCTCCAATCCAATGGATAAACAATGACGTTGTAAAACAACCAAAAGCTATTCTCCATTCCATCATGAATGAATTGTTTCAGTGTTGCGTAAGAATAACTGCTATACGTATAGCAAGTGAACAAGTACAACTGATGTTCGAATTTATAAAACTATTTGTTTCGAGATGAACAACAATTTCCTTCGTCGACAGATTTGAAAACAATAAAATTGTGGATATAACTCAGGAGCAAAACGACCGATCGAGCATCAATATCTAACAATTACGCGACAAAACGTTCAACAATGAAAACGAGATGATTCATCTACCCTAACTCAATCATCACCATATCAGACATAAAAACCCAACCGTAATCATTCAATTACACCTTTATGATAAATAAAACACTGTCTATGCTCAATCAATGTCAACATCAATGGCAATAAAACAGCAAACATAAATGAAGAAAAACCTTCAAAATGATGCACATTCACGGCATTCGCATGTGGTTGGTGATGTTGACGATGAAGATAATGAGGATTCGATTCAACAATGACTGTATCATGAAT